AAATTAAAAAAAAATAATAATAAATAAATAATAATAAAAGTAAATCAATAAATCAAACAAGGGTAGGTGTGAGACTTACGACTTACCAGAAGTTCCAAGTCCAGAATATGTTAATATAGAATAAAAAATTTGTACCATAACGGCCTCATCTTGGTCACAAAGTGTACTTAAACAGAATGGTATTTGCAGTTTACTAAACGCCCAAAATGAATGGGAAAACCCCTTATATGTTTCACCATGGTCTTGAAGGTTAGCACCCTGTTCTGTTCTCAATTTTTCTACACGGTGTTTGGATAGACGTCTAAGAGTATTTTTCAAAAATCCACCTAACTCTTGGGGCTTTTTAACTATATTCATATCCACTAATTGGCGTCTGCAGGTAACAACATTTTGATACAATCTTAATCTGTCTTCATTGGTTGTTCTTTTAATTTTTTTTGAACACTCCGCAATGTTTAATATCCAATTTGATAAAGCGGGGTAATACGAGATAATTAAAGATCCAATTTCATTTTTTTGTGATGTTTCAAAAACAAAACATTTTTGTGTATCAATCAGAGGTGTCCTTTCAGAGTAATGCTTGTTGAGCTGATGCATATTTCGATTTAGTGATATAGTAATAAAACTGTCGCTGGGGTCTAGCATAATGGATTCAATATCTATGTACTTAAATTGGTGAATAATAAATTTATCTTCTGGTTGAATAAACATTATTCCATCACAATGAACTGCCAGAATTATGTTATTAACGAAATTCCAATAGCCTTTGTATGTTACTGCATACATCGTTGTGCCATAAAGAGGATACTGCATTACACAACTTAAATATAAAACTTTAGCTGTTAATTCTTTTCTGGATGATCCGTATTGTCGGTGGGCTTGTGCTAAAATTGGTATCCAAAATTGTTGCTCTCTTGTTTTTGATATTCTACTTGGTAAGAAGCTATTGATATCCGAATAATATTCTGGTTTTGGCTGATTAGATGGATCTCCTAATGCTACTTGAGCTTGCAAGCCTGCTAGTTGAAGAGCTACTTTCTCACTGACCGGGAATTCGTCTTTCTAAAAAAAACAGATACAGAATACTTTTAAGTATGCATGATAACTTTAACTTTTTTGCATTATTATTTAAAACAAGAAAGTAGCTAGCTTTCGGCACGCCGAATTTTGTATACCTTTGCGAATTGGAATTGAAAAAATAGAATGACCAAAAGGATATATAATAAAAGATATAAAATAATTTGTTTTGATAAATTTTCAAAAATATTATTTTTATATCGTATAAAATAACTATATTCTGGATTTAAAATTTGTAATTTAAAATATATTTTTTTTAATTTCATTTTCGCAACCAAATCATTAGACCCCTTGCTAACTATTGCTAATTTTCTTTGTATTATAATTTACCTTTAATCTAAGCTAGGACCCGTTGGGAATCCTAAGCGTCGATGCGAAGGCAAAAGCAAACCTCGAAAATCGGCAATAATTTGTTTTTTTTTTTTTTGAACCAGTTCTTTGGCCAAAAACAACAAAAAGAACTGGATCATTTCATTGGCGCCAGTATAACAAAAAGAGCTTCTAAATACACAAATAACACCACGATCACAAATGCACCCTGGTTTGCTAGAAATGCAGACATCGCTAATGAACTCAAAATGCTAACAGTTGTGACGGTCTGTCTGTCCTCGGGAAGCTTAGCGGGACGTTCAAGTTCCATTTCAGGAATTATTTGGTTCAGGCGTGGTTGCTGTAAGAGATTCCGACCCAGTCCCAGAGTAGAACGCTTGACAATTATGTCGTAAAAATGTATCTTAATGTTTATTGATCTAAAAGGTACAATTCTCAATAATTTCATGCCGGGTCTCAATTCTGGGGTACGCCGTGGTTCCGATTCGTTCTCCTTGTCCCGATTGCGGCTGTCCGGTAGGCCGATAGTTCCGCCAGAAGATGGGTTATTTGGACTCGAAAGTCACCCACAAGCTAATGCGTTCGGACTCGAAAGTCATCCACGAGAGAATGCGTTCGGACTCGAACAGAACAGAACCAAGTTGTTGTCCGACTCGAAAGTCAGCTCAGTGAGTTGTTATCGGACTCGGGGAGGTTAACTCGACCCAATCGCAGTCGGCTGCTAAGTAGTTTCTCCAGCGCCGAGGCCTGCTTTATATAGGCCCTGGCTGGGCTTCAGTGTGGCCAGAGTCTTGTGCGGGAGTTGCCCGAACGGTGTTGCCAGCCTCCGTTCGGTCCAGTGTGACCCTCGCGATCGCGATCATTGGCGCGCGCGTCTTCAATTCAAAGTTATTCATAATGTTGCCAATCCATTTTCCTATATCGCTAGTTGTTTCTATTAGTTCTTAATATATATTTGTGCGCGTATACGCGTCACACAGTGAGGAAGCAGATCAACAGGCACTGAAGTCGAAACAATGAAAGTCTCAAATGAATGAATGTCTTAGATGTCTTGGCAAATTAAAAATTGTTATTTTTTATTGCTGTTTTGTATGCTTGTTACGTTTGTTGCTAGTGTTAGTCCCTACGTTTTGAATTCATTGATTTGGTTGATTAACGTATAAATAAATATCGAAATATATTTTAAAAAAAGGCTGCTGCGGTTGCTTTGCATTTTTTGGCATTTCCTTTTGTGCTTTCACCGTTTGTTGTTGTTTGCGCTGTCGCGACAGCAAGAAATGGTTATAGTTATTTGCTTAAGGGGTTATATACAGTTGTACCGCGCAAAAATATGAAGTTTTGTCGATTTTTTTTTTGACACCATAAAGAATATTTATTAAAAATGTTTTACCGGCGTTGTTCAGTACATCTTTCTGGGTAATTATTAAAATTTTTTTTATTAATTTATTTTTTTTTTAAATATTAACTATGTTATGACCCTACAAGGTCCTGCGTGTGCAGCCATCGGCTTGGGCCATGCCTCGGCAAGCTCCCTCTCAGGCATCGGTTCTTGGCCCGGCCCACTGACACACGTAACAGATATAATTTAATTTTGAACATCCCGCCCTAGACGAAGACGAGACATTGCACAACACTAACACTTGCACAAGTTCGAAACTGGACGAAACATTTCTTAACGACACATACCTTCTAAACGGTCAGACTCCTTTGAGACTCCTGGATGTTGTGGAGCTCATCTGCCTTGCCCTCCCATCCTTTGCAGGCTGCTGGCAGAAATTATATATGCAGCTGCCCCTATTATGCTTCACACAATCACCTCACGCCATGGATCCCCTCCTCCTTCCCAGAAAAAAAGGACTACTCCATATTCATATTTTAGACCTTACTTTTAATTACAATAATTAATTTTACAAAAAAAAGTACAATTGGTCTCTGTTGAACCGCCAAACTATTTTTTTTCCGGTATGTATCCTTTTTTTTTGCAATACGAATAAAACGTTATAATTTTCCTCGACATCAACAAAAATTCTCGACCTACCCGTTTGAGCGCTCAGAAGGGGAACGAACTTTCGAGGGGAAGCCGGTACAGAAACCACTGAACAGAAAATTAGAAATTCACACAAAAAAAAATAAGTTGGGGCACAACCAGAAAATTTAACCAAAAAATATGAATAAAATATGTATATACAATAAATGAGGAACAACTATGACCAAACAAATAAATAAATAAATAAATAACTAAATAAATAAATAACTAACTAAATAAACAAATGAATAAATAACTAAATAAATAAATAATAAAAATTAAAACGATAAATATATAAATAAGGAGATTAAATAGAATAACAAAAAAAATAAATATAAAACAAAATAAAAAAAAATCGTACTAAAGCCTTTGGTGGCTCCCGTTGCCGCCTCGTTGCAGGCGTGTCGGTCTTCAAGTAGGCGGTACTGTGCCGGCGAGGTTACGACCAGAGTCGCGGGAAAAATTACGCCCTTATGTGCAGTTCGGGTGGCCAGCAATGACCCAAGGGATCGACAATTTGGCGCAGTCCAAAAAAAATTATGCGGCACCAGGATGTTATGTGGCCATACCGCAATAGGTACCGCTAGTTCCAAAAATACTCGGCCACCAAGACCACTATTCCCGCCAGTATATGCATAAAAATATGCGGGGATCAAAAAATTAGGCTCCCGTACAAAAAAAAAATTTCGCCAGTCCCGGATCTTGGCCTGGCGCTCTTTCTTTGTAACCTGGTCCTGGTCGGCTTCTATATTTAAAAAAAGATTTTCTTTATCCTCTTCTATTTGTCCTGCCTGGTCCCTGACCACTCACCTCGAGGGTTCGCCGATCCAGCTTCCCAGGTTGTTGTTGTCTCCAAAAAAATTAGCACTGCTCCACTTAATTATTATTCTTCAATTGGTCTTAACATATATAGTTTTTTTTTTTTTTTTTTTATATTTTTCTCTAAGGCCACTTCACAACTTCTAAAATCTTTGCACCGCCGAACTGTCCCGCGCTCGATCGAATTTCTTTCTCTCCGGATTCCAAAACCAACGGAGGCAGCGACAGCCGACAACACGCCATTCGAACTCGAACTCCGTTAGGTTTCTTTTTTTCGAGTTCTCTTTCATCGAGTGAATGAACCCACTACCCTAAATGGCCTCAGTTGGCAGTCCTATTCCCAGTGCTACCCATTCCCACCTATCGATACCAGTGACCTCCGATCACCGATATGTCCGTCGGACACAACACCACACTGACAATGGTCGACATAAACAAAAACAAAGAAACATTGGCAGTGAAAAATGTCCGAATTCCGGCTATTGCCAAAGAACAGGAAACCTGACGAGCCAGATTAGCGCAGGACCTTGGGATTTACAAGCGCCCAACGCGGGAGACCTCCCACGACCCTGAATCCACGATCCGATGCCCTCATCGCTTTGGCCAACATTACCTCCACGTTACCATTCCGAGCAAGTGATTCCGTGCGTTTAAGATGCCAGATTTATTCTCTTCTTCTCTTCCAGGTCCTCATCGTTGGTCGTAGACCCCATTCCGTGTAGGGAACAATTCACCTTCCGCGTGTCCTTTATTGCTTTAGGTCCTTCACATGGAACACCCCTGCCAACTTGCCATTCATGTCCTCCACCTCATACATGTGGTTGCCTATGGGTCTTCGAATCCGGCATTTCAGGAATTTCCTGGCAAATTTCGCGTTAAAACACTTCCCGAAATCACTCAATACGTGATTTCGCCTAAACGCTTCTTGTCCGGGGCGGAAAGCTACCTCACGTGTCCGGCGATTGAAAAACCTTGCACTATTCTCGTGTGCCTCATGCAAGTTATTCCTTATCGTGTCCCTTATCAGCGCCATCCTCTCTCCTGCCCCCAGGCCCTCCAGCTCGTTGTCCCCCAACGCCTGTAACCTCCGAGCCAGCTGATAATCAGCTCCGTTGGTGAACATATTCTGCCCAAACAAGGCGAAGTACGGCGTTACTCCTGTCGCTTGGTGCACTGAGCTTCTCAAGGCCGCCTCGATCTCCGGAAGATACAAATCCCGATGATCCTCCTCCAAGTACGCCCGGATTGCATTGAGCACCGACTGGTTCACCCGTTCGGCTGCATTCGACTGAGGAGAGTATACCGCCGTTCTCAAGTGCTTAATCCTTTACTGCTCGACCATCTCCCGGAACCGCTTCGCTACGAACTGCTTTCCGTTGTCGGAATGTATAATCTCCGGCACTCCAAACGTGTGGAATATTGTTTTGGTCAAGAACTTGACGACTTCCACCGTGGTCGCCTCCTTCATTGCCTTGAGGAACACAAACTTCGAGAAGTGGTCTACCACAATAAAAATGTAGGCGTGACCCTTCCTAGACCGAGGATATTTTCCCAGAAAGTCGATGTAAATCTTTTGGAACGGCCGATACGTTACCGTTTCTGTTCCTAGCCCCGGCTTTGGCCCTCCATACAACGGTTTGGACTCCTTGCATACCTGGCAGTCGCGAACGAATCCCCGTACCTGAGACACCATGCCCGGCCAATGGAACCATTGCCGCAGGCGATGTAGCGTTTTGGCCATCCCTCCATGAGCCTTTGTCAGCGGCGCGTGTGCTTGTTCTATCAATGTGCTGGTCAGCGACGCTGGGATCCACAGCTTCCAGCGGTTCTCCTCCAGCTCAGGTTCGCTGTTGGACATGGTCCGTTTAAATACGAAACCATCCACCACTTTGATATCTGGCCGTTTCTCCTTTTCCGCTTCGACCACGTCACGTAGCTCGCGATATTCCTCCGACTCAAGCTCCACGGTCTGGAATCCCAGCATCCAGTCGTCACTTAGGTCTTCCACCGATTCCACCATCCTAGATAGGGTGTCCGCCACTACGTTCTCTGACCCTTTCCGATGCTGTATACAAAAGTCGTAGGCCTGTAATTTCAACGACCATCTCGCAAGTCTCCCACTTAAATCCTTCAGCGACATTAACCACTTTAAGCTCGAGTGATCCGTAATCATCGTAAATGGCATGAGCTCTATGTACGGTCGGAATCGCTGTATAGCTAATACGGCCGCCAAGCATTCCTTTCCGTCACGCTGTAGTTACGCTGACACTGATTCAGCTTCTGAGACATAAATGCTATAGGTCGTTCGCTGCCGTCATCTTCCTCCTGGAACAACACTGCTCCGACTCCGGAATCCGATGCATCGCACTGCACATAAAATCTCTTGGAGAAGTCCGGATGGGCTAATACCGGCGCAGCCATTAATGCACTCTTTAGGGCTTTGATCGCTTCCTCCGCCTCCGCTGTCATCTTGAATTTCTGGCCCTTTTTCAAAGTATCCGTCAGCGGCGCTGCGAGGTCTGCAAAGTTCCGGATAAACCTCCGGTACCAACCCGCCGTGCCTAAGAAGCTCCTCACTTCCCTCGTGCTCTTGGGAAATCCTAGATTCTGAATGGCTTCGACCTTCTTGGGATCAGTTCGAAGAACTCCGCCGCCTATAATAAAACCCAGATATCTAAGCTCTTTAAAGCAGAAGTGAGACTTCTTTAACCCGATGGTCAATCCCGCTTCCCTCAAGAGTCCTGCCACTTCCTGGAGTGTCTCTATGTGTTCCTCAAACGTTGGGAACACCACCAGCAAGTCGTCCAGGTACATAAATACCTTTTCTCGCAACCTCTGGGGAATCACCTTATCCATGAGGCGGCACAGGCGTTGAGCAGCATTTGTCAACCCGAATGGCATGGTGACGAAATGATACAACGGCGTCCTGGAACCGTAAACGCCGTATACCTTCTGCTCTTTTCCTCTAGCTCTATCTGCCAGAACGCGTGTTTCAGGTCTACGCTCGATATGTACCTTGTAGTATTTACCCGGCTCAGGATTCCTTCGATACTTTGTTGAGGATAAGCGTCTTTTATCGTCACTTGGTTTAGCTTCCTAGCGTCTAGACAAAGGCGATTCTTCCCCGGCTTCCTCACAAGCGTTATGGTATTACTCCATGAGCTGTCGCTTTCTTCAATCACACCTAAGCGAAGCATTTCGTCTACTTCCTCATAGATAAGAGATTGTACTGCTGGTGATACCGGGTAGTGGCGATCTTTCACTGGGACTGCTCCTTCAACCAGATCTATCGTGTGCTTCATCCTAGTAGTTCTTCCCAGGCCATTGGCTTCAAAGGTAAAGAAGGAGTCACGGATCTCTTGTAACTTCTGCTGTTGGTCTTCGGTCAGTTCGTGTGGCTCTGGTTCCCCTTTAGCTTCCATTTGCAGGTCTGTATTGGCTTGGATCGATTCTATCCCAAACACCTCGGGTGCTATCCGGAAACTCTTCCAAAAATCTACGCCCAGATATAGTTCCTGCTCGAGGGATGGGCACAAAAACAGGTTCTTTTTGTACTCTACCGGCACCGACACTTTTCCCAGGATCTGCTGTGTTGCCCCATTGGCTGTTCGAACACTGGCGAAGTACGGCTTCCAGGTGATGTCCAGCGTTTCCAAAAGCTCTCTACAACCTTTGCCAAGTAAGCTGACCGATGCTCCTGAGTCTAAAAGACCACGTACCGTCTTTCCAAGGATGCTCACGACCGCATACGGGCGTGGATCTATATTCTTCCTCTGGTCTCGAACAGAATTCACCGACTGCTGTACCCTGCCTCGTTCCTGTTTCCTTTTCTTGAATCGATCCCTGGCTTTTTGTATCCTTTTTGTTGTCATGGTCATACCTGCAAGCTGATTTTCACCGAATATTCGTTGACGAGCCTCTTTATACCTTCGAACTCGCTCACTCAGGGTCAGGAACATCCGATCTGGTCCCCGCACCATCGGCTTCGCGCTCTCTTCCCTATTGCTGCTTAATTGGTCCGGGATCTCCTCTCTGGGTCTCTCACGGAACGCGGCTCGCCCGTCCCCACTACGTTCCGCAAGGCGTTTCCCTGCCTACAGTTAGGGCATTTGGGCGTAACGGTATTTGCCAATCCGCATTTATAGCAGAAAAGCTTCCGCTGCACCGCCTCACATTCCATATAAACATGCCCACTTTGTTGACAATTCCAGCATATCAGCAACTTTTTAGGTGCTCCGCTTGATATCGCCTCTACCGATCCTTCTGTCCCCTCAGTAGATTCCTGGATTTCCTGATCGCAGCCTCGGATTTCCTCCACTCTGCTCGTATCGGGTAGATCCACTGTCTCATCGGGCTGTGAAATATTCCTCCAGAGATTCTCCCGAGCGCTGCTTCCTCTCGGCGATATCCTGGATCCGGTCATAATTGCTTCTATTGTCACAATAGCGCCGTTGCAATGCCGCCTTAAGGTCTTCCCAGGTCCTCGGAGGTTTGGTTCTGATTTGCAGCCAGTACCACTCAGATGCTTCCTCGGTGAGCAATCGGTGAAAATCCCGTAATAGGTCTGGCCATTGCACTCCATAGTGCTCCTGTAGATGTTCCACCCTGAACAAGAAGTCCTCAGCGCTCATGGAGCCGTGGCTGCCGGCAAACTGAAACCCCCACTTGTCCAGTGGAACATAATGCCTTGGCCGAGTCCATTGCCTGTGCTCTCCCGAAAATCTGGTTCCCGGTCCTCTCCCGGACAGACTGCCGTTTGGATTTGCCGAGGCGCGATATTCGTCTCGTTGCTGCCCTTCAAATCTCACTCTCGGGTGTTACGGAGTTCCCGAGGCTCTCTTATCAAAAGAGCGGTGATCCCAGCGATCTCTCATAGACCCGTTCTGGACCCCAAATGGGTTGCCTCCTGTCACCTGTGGGTTCACCCAACGGTTTCCTTGTCCGGTCCACGTTTGGCTTTCACCTCTTCCATTTGCCACTCGAGGTGGCAGTACATCCGTTGTCGGTTGACCGGGGTGGTGATCCCTTCTGGCTCCCTCACTCTGTCCTTCGGAATGGGGTTGTCTTCCTGCTGCTTCGCCTCCTGGACCCTCTTCCATATTCGGTGCCTTGCTACCAGCCTCTTTACTCCCAGTTGTTCCAACCGGTCGCTGTGTTGCCGTCGATGAACCAGAGGACTTGGATGTTTCTGAACTTCCGTCCCTTAGATCCAATCGCTTCATTATTTCGGCGAATCCCGTCTGCATGCATTGGTCGATCCTCACGTCGATGAGGCGTTTGCAAATCCACCCTCATCTGCTCCTGCGATGTCTGGATCACCGATTGCAATTCCCTCCTATTGAACGAGCCATATGCTTCGGCGTTTTCCTGACTGTATTGTTCCTGTATTGGGTCTAGGATAATGTGGGAATGTACGTTGTACGGAGTGGAGGCCTGATCGAGATTCAGAGTTCTTGGGATTGCGCCCCCTTCGCTGTGCCCCCGATAGATCCCTGCCCCTTGCACCTTCCAACATTTGTGACTCCTCCTCTTCACCTCTATGCCGTTCTTCTTCGCCCTGCATTGTGGACATTATTGGTCCACCTATATACCCTCGACGTGAAATGTCTGGAACCAATCAAATGCTACGCTAACTGCTTGGCTAAGGAACGATAATTTGGTGACAACAAACAAACACAAACACTACAAAAAAAATGTTTTAAAACTCGTCTACAATGACAATTTGGCGAGAATCCACCCAAATGTTTTGTTGTATTCAATATATATGCATCTGGAAGGAAGAAGTTCACCCGGCGTTTGGTGTTGTGTGTTCGATATTTATTTCTGACCATTTAACAACAAGTATGTATATATACGGACAACAAAAAACACTTATTTGGCACAGTCGACTATACGAAACCTCACTAGCAATGACGTTTGATAGTCAAGTTGCCAAATACAAAAACCAAAACATAACTAATCATCCTCTCTTCTTCCCACAGGTGCAAATGGACACGTACAAATTGGAGCAGATGCAACTCTCTCACACATCGGAGCAGAGGTCACCGTCCTTCGCCTGGACGCAGCGCAAGGTCACCGAATATTGCGCCCTGGGTCGCCGGACATTGTCGTGTCTCACCACCCGGGAAAAAGGAGGAACCAGTTACATTTTTTTAAGTTAATATTTTACCCCTTTGTATTACTTTGATCTACATTAAACCCCCTTTTTAATTCTAATTTTCCTGCTTTCACTTCTTTAGTCTTAGTCCGTTATTTGAGTCCGATGTCTATGCCAACTTTTCGCAAACAGATCCTTCTATCTGGTCAGTGTCGAACTTGGCCTTCTCCTTCTCCGGTCGCTATATGTCCTTGCATCTTAGCTAGCCATAGTCGCCGGATTTCCTTTTTCCTCGTTTCTGTCCGATATTTATCCTAATTTTAATTACTAACTAACTAAAGGCTATATCACAGATTAATATCACAATTTTGGGACTTTTGTCAGTCAGCTTGCGCAAATCAATTTATTTGGCTCAACCGCATAATTGATGACTTCAAGTCTGCTTCTAGAAGCCCCGTTTTAGGACATTAATCCGCCACCTTTCTTTGCTCTCTAACTTTGTTGTTTATAGAATCAGATATTCAGTCTAGCCACCCTGCTAGAATTCTCTGATCCTACAAACCACGAAGTTTTGCATGTCCTTTTGTGGAGGACTTAGTGCTGCTTTCTATTGGGCGCCATTTCTGTTATGACCCTACAAGGTCCTGCGTGTGCAGCCATCGGCTTGGGCCATGCCTCGGCTAGCTCCCTCTCAGGCATCGGTTCTTGGCCCGGCCCACTGACACACGTAACAGATATAATTTAATTTTGAACATCCCGCCCTAGACGAAGACGAGACATTGCACAACACTAACACTTGCACAAGTTCGAAACTGGACGAAACATTTCTTAACGACACATACCTTCTAAACGGTCAGACTCCTTTGAGACTCCTGGATGTTGTGGAGCTCATCTGCCTTGCCCTCCCATCCTTTGCAGGCTGC